TATCCGTAGCTGGCAAAAACAACTATCGCATCAACAGCTCGTAAAACCAAAGCAGCAAATTAAGCTGGCAGCATAAAAAGCCAACGAACAGAAGGGATAGACAGAGTTGAGAGGGGGGAGCAGTGTGCTGTGTTGACCACTGACCATAATACTGACCATAAATATAATATTTGATAATTTTATTAACAATTTTCGACTGTAAATTGTTTACGACTGCGATTGCAGTGGCCAAGACTTGGCTGCTTTTTAGGCGTCTGCCAGGCGTTAACTGTGCGCTTTTTATGCGAGCCAACTCCAAATGAAATATTCATGCGGCCCAGTCTCCCTCTTCCTCTCTCTCTCTCACTCTCTCATACACTATCTCTCACACTCTCTGGTAGAGTCGTAAATTAAATTTGGCCCTGGCAACATTCTGTTCAATCAAGCACAAAAAACGCAGCAGACAGTCTGAGGGCAGCTATCCTGGCTATCCTTACGTTTAGTTTAGTTTCTCCTCTTGCTTTTTTTTCCCAGCTGTGAACTGTGTGAACGCACTTTGATTTTAAGTGCATTAGAGAGGCCCAGTCCTTGCGACTAGCAAATTCAATTTGTTGCAATCCTATGCTAAAATCAGATCCCAAAAACTTTTTGCCCCGTTTTGTCGACATTAAATTTATGAAATTGTGAGCTTCCTCTTTTTGCTGGCCTGCCCGTGTCCTTATGTACAAATGCACGAGGAGTACTCGAAACTCAATCATGCTTGCATGTAATATCCTGGCTGTCCTTTGCTGCCGTGTTGAGCCAGCCATTTGCTTGAGTAAACTGTGCGGTCCTGACGACATTTATACCCATAACAACAGCAACAACAACGAGAACAACATCTACAACAACAACAACAATGATAACAAAATGCCAAGTTCATTGCATGCGCTTAGCTCCCAGTTGGAGCTTCTAAGGAGCTCCTCGGCTGCGCCCTGAACTATGCAAGACATGTGCAACAAGGCATGCGAAGGACAGATACGACAAAATGGGGCGTATTCAAGGCGTTATTTAGGAATTGTCCTGTCCAAGCCAAGTTTTCCAAGTGCGGCAACAACTTGCATTAAAACTTTTCTGTCACATTCTTCGCATATCTTTGTGAATGTGTGGCAACATTTTTGTAGCCTGTTGATTGCTTATTAGGATGCCACTTTAAGCCTACTAGAAACAAGTTTAAGATAAATCAAAAATGTACTTTCTTAAATATTTTTTTAATTTAAGTCTTTAAGCTTTTCGACTTGCTCCGATAGTTTTTTCGCTATTTTTCGAAACATTTCAGTGCGCTTGATTGTTTATTAGGCCGTCGCTTTTAAAGCGATTGCTAAAAGAACTCTCAGCGCCTAATTGAATTAAATGGCTGGCTGTGGCAAAAAGCAAAGTAAATTAAATAAGTTTTTCATTTTGGCCACGTTGCCAAGTAAGTTGCATTGTCAACGCCGTTGTCGTCGTCGTCGTCGTCGTCGTCGTCCTCTTCGAATGGGTCGCGCTTTTTGCTTGCCCGCATTTTACGCTTCGCCTGCGGCTCCATTTGGCTGCCTTTTGATGCCGACCCGCCCTGGACCCGGTCGAACCGGGCCGGACCGGATCGGAGCAGGCGGGCCGAGGCCAAATGCAATGAGCCAAAAGTTGTTTAATGTATGCAACGCCTGTCTGCCCTGCCTGCTTTGTCTGTCCGTCGCTCCTCGATCCCGCTTGGCCTGGCTCTGCCTGCCCAGCGCTGCGGTTAACAACGCGTCGCAACTTTGGCCGAAAGTAAGTAACTTTTCGCATAGTACGTACATTTTTTTTGTCCTCGTCGGTTAATGCATAGCATACTTTTAGGTAGCTTAGTGGCATTTTACACTAATTTGACTCGCAGTCAGAGTTCTTTATTATTTTTTCTCCCATTTTTTTCACATATTTTCTCTCTCGATGGTGTGATTTATTTGGCGGAAAAGATTACTTACTCGGCTTGTGGTTTCTGTGGTGCGTTTGAGTTGGCTTTCCCCCGGCCAGTTGAAGATTTGTTTTGACGCTGGGCGGATGGACTTGCCCCGCTGAGTGGTCTACCCTGCTCTGGCTGATTGCTGCTGACTGCTCGACTGTTAGTTGGCTCGACTGCAGCTGACAGCAAAATTAAAATCTGAAAATGAATTTGTAATTAGTTTTACTGCTACTTTTGCCCACTTTACAACTGCCATTGAGAGTTTGGTTTGAATTTGTTGTTCCTTTAAATAAGTGAAAATTAATTGAAAAAGTCGCTGCCAGTTGCTGAGCGCTTGTTATTTCCATCGATTCGCAGGGACTACAACGAATATATTTTAGGCGTAGCTAGAAATGTTAGCAAAAGACTAAAATAATAGTGTATTAATTGGGAATCACAATCTTAAAATAATACGCCTACAGTTCTGAGAAATTAATATTAAAGAAATTTGAATTTCTTCTGCAGTCTTTAAGCGAGTGAATAAAAACTAATTTGATCTAGAAGTTATAGGCTCAGAAGCGAATCAAATAGATCTTTTGGGCGGCAGGTCATAATCCGGAGTACTCTGGCAACTCATTAATATTAATACCACACAGCTAATTGTTTACTGACAATCTCGTATAATTTAACACCTTTAAATCATGCTTTCCATTAAGCTTATATATTTTATTTTGAGCCCTTGAATGGCGCAGCTCAAATCCATTTGGCTCTAAATTTATGCGCGCACATTTTTGTGTTAAATAAATAAAATCAACAAAATGAAAAGTATTTATTTTCTTGTCGCTGCTTTAATTGATATATAAAAATGGCTGGCCATTAAACAAATGCGTGCCGGGCCAATTCATTTAGCAATTAAAACAAGCTGCGGCCGGCGGCTGCTTAAAAAATAAATAATAAAAAAAATTATAATAAAAATAAACTATTGTATGCAAATCATGCACAGGCATATACAAAAATATATGCAAAAAAAAAAGAAGCAATACGCATACATATATAATTCATTTGTTAAAACCATTTGCCGCCCATTTATTTGCTAGTTTTTTATTTATTTGTATTTATTTTGTATTATTTTGTGCCGACATTTTTCAATTTTTTTGCTGTGCTGCAAATTGAGAGAGAAATATGTTGTCCTTTTAGGCGTTGACAAATCGACGCTCACAGTCGTCGCACAAAAAGCGCCATCGAGGCGGGAATAATAATTTTTTGGCACGACTGCCATGTTAACATGTCCCCAGACACGTAAAGGACTCCAGTCCAGGACCGCAGGAGCACGTTGCAGTTTATTATGTGTGTGTGTGAGTGTGTGTATTCTGGCTGCCTGCATATCAGCGCCCGTGTAAGCGTTCCGCTTTCTAGGCTATAGCGCCGTATGGGGCAGGAGTTCAGTGCTTGCGGCTTGTAGCCACCATTAGTGAACACGGCAACAGGACTGCCAGCCGGGTAACTGTGATTACAGTCATGTCTGGAGGGCCCCAGAGCCCAACAGCCAACAGGTTTATCATGTGCACTCGTTGCCGCCTGCCCCCTCCCATTTGTGTCCTCCCTGCTCGCGTCTGTGTGCCGGGCTTGGCTGCATTTGCATTTAAATATAAATACGTGCGCGGCTTTTCGGGGCGGCTGGCAGACAAATTACTTTTTAAATGCACTGTAAGCCTTCAATTGTAATTGGCCAACGACAGCGTTGGGTTCACTTAGCTATTGGCCTTGTGCGGTTTGAAACTTTGCCAAAAAATGGCCAAAAAACTGGCAAAAACTTTGAGCAACGCGCATTAAAAAACAATAAAGCGAAAAAAATATATATGTATATGTATATTGCCAAGTGCCAAAATCGTAAGGCCTCAGCACTCCACCCCGCTTGCCACTAAGCCAGAGAGAGGCCCAAGCTAATGGCGTCACGTTTGCAGGACCGTGCCGCAAAGCAAGTGGCATGCAACATGCGATTGCTGCCAAAAGTGCCGCCTGGCACAAGTCCAGAATTGACGACGGCCTCCTGTTAGTAGTTGGGCTTGTTAGTTGCCAGACGGCAGTCGACAGCAGGCAGCCGGCAACTGGCAACCCGCAGCCTGTTGCATTCGAGTCAGTAGAATCAGTCGTCCAGGGCCAGGGCTGTGCCTGCTGCTGGCGCGTGCTGCTTGCCTTCAGAGTCGTGTTGAATTTTTCATTTCATTTGGCGCAGCAATTCACTTGAATGGGAATTTCGTGTCGTCGTCTTCAGGAAACGGAAGTGCCAGCCAAACAACTGCACACATAGCATATAATAAACGTTCATATTGACTTGGCTGACTTACACAACCCAACGAAAGCAAACATAATTTCCAAGTCTGCACACTGCCGGATTTTAAGGGGAGGTAAGAGGGTGAGGAAGAGGCGGAGGCGGAGGGGCCTAGCAAACCAAATTGGCAACCGCCCGCCACAAGGCATGCGGTGCGGGGATTATAAGGCTATCAAATTGACGTTAATGAATTAATTTATGAGCTTTTGTGGTTCCATGCGAGCCGTTGCCTGTTGCACTATTTGTCTGGGAGATTGAAGAGCTGCGCTAATTATAGAAGCTAAGACATTGGAATAGGGGGTAATTAGAAATTGAAAAGATAGGCAAACAAAAGTGAACCAAATGGAATATTTGGGATTGGTTTATATATCTAACTAGCTATATTGGAACAGAAATTAAAATAGCAAAAAGCACAGCTCACAGAAATGCTTACGATTTCAAAATTGAAAGTGTGAAATACAGAAAAGTTGCCCAAAATTGTGTCAGCTTTCTATAATAGGCCTGTCCCTCACTCGTGCTAGATAGGTGCTCGTTATTCGGACCTCCTCTATAATTTGTGCCCCTGCAACTTCAGCGCGTGGTGCAGTGACTGTAATTTGTGCATTGCAATTTTCGTGCAACATGTCGAAAGATTTACAAGTGCTGCGACAGCTACATTGTCGCTCAGCACTTCGATTGGGGCACGTTCTGTAGCCTGCCACTAAAACGCCTAATGACGTTTACACGGCCAACATAATTACAGTAATAATGTGGCTGACTCTCGACACTGTGCAACAGCAAATGGTGATGACATTGGTGAGGTGTCATGCGACAATTTAACGAGACGACGTTGTTGAGCAGGACGCGCCTTGCATATACGCGCGAAAAGGATTCGCCTTTTGTGTGCCACATGCAACAGTCAACGGCAATTACAGCAACAACGGCATCGGCGACGTCGACGGCAACAGCTACTACAAAGCACATTCGTCACGAAATGAGGCAACAACAACAAGAACAACAATAAAGAAACTCGTGCGTGTGTGTTGGCCACCATTTTGTATGCTTTTAAATTAGCCAAAGTGTGAAAGTGTCATGTTTCGAAATATGAAATTAACAGGCAGCCAGTATAGCCAGGGCGCTGGGGAATGCGAAAAGCGCTCATTGTTGCCGCCACATATGTGTGTGTGTGTGTGTGTGTGTGTATATGGGGTGTGTGTGTCTGGCATGGCTGCTGCTGTTGTTGATATGCTGTAATTTGCTGGCGAAAAATTGAAAAGAAGTGCACTTCAATAATTGTGTGCTTCTGTTGATTCTTCGTTTAAAATTACATGCCAACAGTTTCACGAAACCCATCAGAAAATTGCTCAAGTGGGCACAATTGAAATTTTTGAATGATAAATACCAGAATTGCCTTTAGGCCGTCTTTGTTTATGTTTGCTTCTGGAATATTTATAATAATTTTATAACTTAAAGTTCAGTGAATGTTGCTTTCATATGTTTTAATGTATATTCATCGGGTTTTTAAAGATATTTTTCTCATTTATATTATGTTTAATGATGAATGCATATACTTTTAGCATTCTCTCCTAGTGCTGGCTTCTATTCCTAAATAACGTCAGTTTTTGCCATAAATGTGCATTTATAGCCAAGTATTCAATTCTTAAAGACAATAGAGACCCTTTGGATATAAAGACCTAAGCGAGTAACTAAAACATTCGCTATTCAGCAACAGATTCGACTGATAAATATAATCGTGTAATGTCTAATGTTCACTGGTAGCTCATTAAAGCTCATTACAAGACCGGGCCAGAGATGACCGTGATTGCTCCAGGCTGCTCAGAAATGCGGAGAATATAGTTTCACATTGCCGGCGGTGTGCCTCCAGGCTCCTGGTAACTTTGCTGTTCCCTGAATGTTTTACCTCGTATCATGGCCTTTACATAAACTTGAGTTTCATATTTCATTAATTAAAATTGTGTGCAAGGCTCCTAACTATATACATGGAGCACCTGTTTGGCTTTAGTCTCATTAACGATACACATACTTACACAAAAACAAACAGAGCCTGGAAAAGGGAGAGTGTGGGCGACTAAAATTATGCAACATAATATCATTGTTACATTGATTAATGATTTGCAAAATCATAAAAGCTGTTCTCTCCCCCATTTCCCAGCCTCCCCCAGTAAAGGTTTCGTATTACAAAAACAGCCAACTCATCTGCAAAACGTCTTAATTATAACAAAACAAAATGTCGAGGCACATGAAATGTTGTCGTCGCTTCAATTGTCATACAGTAGACGTAAAGGGGGGGCCTAAGTGGTGGGCAGGAAGTGCGAAATGTGAAGCGGCCATTATTATGCTAATTAATTGACATCAAAGAACGCAACAAAGCCAAAGACAGCGCACTGCACAGCAGAGCTTAGGCGCCGTCTTTGTTGAATGTGCCCAATATTTCGAAATCAATGAGAGCCGACAATAGATAACATCATGACTCAATGTAGATGCCTGAGATAGGGGGCTACATGGGTAGAATGTGAGAGGTACTTATATTATATTATAAAGAGCGAACAGCTTGTAAGCCGATTTCAATGGAAATGCAAATTGAAGTGCGTTGCCAATTATTTTGTTATTTACGAGTATTTTTGCTTTTTATCGTTGCTGTTGCTGTTGCTATTGTTGTTGTTCTTGTTTATCACAAAAGCATATAAAATATAATATGATAATAATGAGCAGTGCGCCTCGCATAACAAAAGCCAAATGGCAAAGTGCACAGCGGCGAGCAGGGCAGTGGGGTGGCAGAGAAAGAGAGAGAGAGGGAGAGAGACAGGTAAAAATAAGGCAACGTTGGCAACCCCCCAACGTCAACGTCAAGTGACAAGGCACAAAAGAATGGCCTGTAATAGGATTTCCCGCTCGCTGTAGCCTGCGCTGGCGGGAAACGGAAAAGCCGCCAATAAATATGCAATGCCACTCACTCACTCACTTACGCACTGACTCACTCTTTGATTCCAATTATTTTCAGGGTGCATCCTCCAGCCTGGTTGTCAAATACGCCGACACGGAGAAGGAGCGACAAATAAGACGCATGCAGCAAATGGCCGGTCATATGAACCTATTGAATCCGTTTGTCTTTAATCAATTTGGACCGTACGGCGCCTACGCGCAGGTAAGTACCCTCCTCAACCATACCCGCCAACGGCCCGTTCAGCACGCCTCATCACGTCCCTTTTTATATTCCCAAAAAAAACAGCAACAACAGCAAGCGGCTCTGATGGCTGCCGCGGCAACGGCACCGGGCTCGGCAGCTGCCTATATGAATCCAATGGCTGCATTGGCAACGCAAATACCTCATGGCCTCAATGGCACCGGCCAGCCGCCGTCGCTGCCCTCGCCAACGATGCCCAACTTCAATATGGGCGCCAATACGCCCAATGGCCAGCCCGGCGGGGCTGCAGCCGCCGCTGCTGCCGCTTCAGTTGCGGACGGTGTCTTCACGAATGGCATTCCACAAACGGCATTCCCACGTAAGTAGCCCCACAAGTCTATCTATCCTATATTGTTTGTGCCAAGAAACCAATGATTTTTTGTTTATCTTACTTTTTTATTTTACATAAATGCATTTAACAATTTCAGTTACCAGCTAACAAGGTTAACCAATTATGCCTTACACTCTATTATTTCATCTAGATCCGCTGCATCTGACCATACCACCACAAGGTTTGCCAAATGGCGATGCTGCTGCACTGCAACATGCCTTCCCTGGTTTGCCACCATTTCCAGGAGTTGGTAAGTTCCCAAACTCGGGTTAGCCATAGTCTGTAATATGCCTTATGCAACAATATGCCTAAGAGAACTACGTATATAATTGTGCCCAAATAAAGAAAATTTAAATAGATAGTACAAGTTCCATACGCACCAAATGTTAATAATTTGAAAAATTGTTATGTCATTATTAGCCCAATTTATCATACATACTCCCGCTTCCCCTCTTTATCTCTCTCGTGCATTATCTAGTCATTTTATTTCATAAATCACCTGTCAGGTTCTCTCATAATTAGCGCCAAGATCTGTATTATCATCGTCATAAGCACAATGCCGCTATAAGGCAGGCGATTCACATAACAAAAAAGAAGGAATTCAACAACAACAGACAGCATAAACAGTTCAATCATTTATAATTGTTTTTATTGAAATAATTAATAATTGTTGTGTCATGCCATAAATATATATTGTTAGTAAAGTGTTATATATAACTCTAACTTCTATATATACATAAATATTTAATTTGTTTCAAAAGAAATACAGAATTCGTCTTAAGTGTAGCAAAAATCGTTGAACCTTCACCATCAATCTTTACCATTTATCGCTCTTCTATGCGCTTCTCAAGCAAAGTGATTGATTGCCACACTGAAAAACAGTTCTATATTTCTTTATATGGCTTTTCTGTTTAAACTCGTTCTCCTAGTTTGTTCTAATTATATGTTGAATATTTTCAGATCTTCTTATATCCAAATTTGTTGTTCAATGTTAAACGTTTAACAATTCTTTGCGAACACACGATATAAAATTCGTTTATTATATTTTCTTGTTTTTATCATAACAATGTTTATACGAACTTTGAATCTGTCTAAATTCGTATTCACATGCCATACGTAAAGTCTATATTTATAACTTTATGTAACACACGCTCTAGAAATCCAGTTGCCCACTTTGGCTGGTATATCTTAATTTTCCGATGTTATTTCTGACTGAAAGATATATAATGGTCGGATCTGGTCGTAGCCTGTCATCTTTGATTGTAAACTTATTATCGTTTTTTGTTCTGTTTATACCTGGTTTAACTTGACACCAAAGAAATCTTAATTAATTTAACATAAATTATATACGTATACTTAACTGTTGTGTTGTCTTTATAAATGTTTCGGATTTTGTGTAAAAACCAAAAACAAAAATTATTTATATATAACGCAGCCTTTCCCGCCGTCTATGGACAGTTTCCACAAGCTTTACCACCTCCCCTAGCGGCGGTTGCACCCACTCAGCGTGAAGGTAAGCTTTTCATTATTATTTTGTCGGTTGTTCTCTCTTTAGTTCCGTTTCTAACTCTTTGTTAGTTTTTCTTTTTGTACTATATCTCAATATTGTGTTTGACTCTTGGCTTGAAACGAATAACTCATGCAAAGCGAAGGGTTTAGAATTTCGTTACTCGTCATAAATAAATGTTTCCATTTATATATAAATAAATTAACCATTCAGATACACACACACACACACCCACACAAACACGTACTCCGTAGACAAATATATATTGAATATCGTAAGCAGTTCGGTGGGTCGATAAAGCCAATTTAATAAAATAAATGAATTTTCTTTTAGCGAACGTATTTGACTAAAATGCCCATAAAAATTAATTACTTGTGTTCTTTTTATTTGGAATTCTTACTTATATTTTGATGCACTGAACAGGGGCAAAATCGCGGAACCCCTTTCGAAAGGGTTGCAGAACCAGAGGCGTAAATCGTTTTTAATGGCTGCATTTAAAGGCATTTTATGTGAGATCGTAAAAATTGCATATAAACTGCTTAAAATCACATAAAAAGCGTCGGCGTATATTCAAGATATTTGCCTGAAACGCGCGGGGATCGGATGGTCGAGGGCTGGGTCCGGCACATGAAAAATCATAAAATTTTATGTTACTTTGTTTCGCTTGGTTTTTTCTTTTTTTTTTTTACTCAGTTCCTTTGTCTTTCTTAAACTATGTAACGGTGACGAGACAAGATACAAGCACACCATTAATAAGGCGTACATAAATAATGTCTATATATACGTATCTGAATTATAGTCAGCTATATAGATGTTCCTATGTGTATGTGCCACTCTCTCTCTCTCTTTTTGTATGTATGTGGGTGTGTGTGTGTGTGTGCCTGTGTACCACATTCTTAAATGTGTATACTGTCTATAACTAACCCTTACTTGTTTGTAAATCTGTTATTCATTTTCAATATTTGTTGCGCGTAGTTAATTGTATTTTTGATATATTTACTTAGTACTTATCCTGCATGACACACACATGAAACTCGGCTATGCTGAACTCATATCATACTATTCTTGTATAGGGATAATCGCAAATGGGGCTATAAAAAATATATATATAAAATGAGAATAAACAAATAGAATTTAATATCATAAGCTAAAATCTTAAGTATTTTATTGCTAGAATTATAGAACTGGTAGCTCATTAAGCATTTTAGATTACGAATATGTCTACATTTATATTTTAGCCTATGCAAGCGTATTTTGTTACTGTTCGTTTGTTTATCTTTTATGTAAGAGTATATTTTATCATATTGTTTGCTATTTGGTTTTGCAGTTTTATGAAACGCATTAGCTTTAGTTAAATCGTCTACAAAATCAGTCACGAAACACGAGACACAATGAAAAAAAAAAGGAAAATAAACTCAAAACCAGCCAAATACAGCAGACAAACTCATAATGTTCTAACTTATGATTTTGCTCATCGTTTAATTTCTTTTCTCTACTTTATTTCTTTTCTTGTAATGTCTTCTTTTAAGATTTTCTGATGTTCCCAGGATGTTCTATATCCGGTCCGGAGGGCTGCAATCTATTCATCTATCATTTGCCGCAAGAATTTGGTGATGCAGAATTAATGCAAATGTTCCTGCCATTTGGCAATGTGATCAGCTCTAAGGTCTTCATCGATCGTGCTACAAATCAGAGCAAATGTTTCGGTAATTCCAAATATGCCCATATATATATATATATATATATATATATATATATATATATATATATATATATATATATATATATATATATATATAGCCATTACTTCAAGTTCGATTGCTTACATTCAATTTTGAAAATTTTTAGGTTTTGTTTCATTTGATAACCCCACCAGCGCTCAAGCAGCCATTCAGGCCATGAATGGCTTCCAGATTGGCATGAAAAGACTGAAAGTTCAATTGAAGCGGCCAAAGGATGCCAGTCGACCTTATTAACAATCGGAGTTCCTTAAGCGTAACTTACTTCAACAACAACAACAACAACAACTGCAACAACAACAACTGCAACAACAGCAACTGCAACAACAACATCTGCAACAACAACTGCAACAACAACAAATGCAACAACAACAAATGCAACAACAACAACTGCAACAACATCATCTGCAACAACAGCAACAACAATTGCAACTACAGTTTCAGCTGCAGCATCAACAACAACATCACCATGCGACAGCAGCCATGACAACAACTTCACCAGCTACAGCTACAACAACGTCTGCAAACAACCTCAGCAACAATTTTAGGCCACAATTAACCAATGATCGTAATACAAATCGTAATACAATGCCCTATACATTTGCCAGCTGGCGCAACGGCACCTATTGTTATCGCTATAGCACCAACAGCAGCGGCAATAGCAACAATAGCAACATCATCAGCAACAACCACAATAATAACCACAACAACAGCAACATTAGCATGAACAACAATAGCAGCAGCAACAACATGAACAGCAGCGACAACAATTCCTGCTCTAATGAAAATAATAACTATTCCAAAGTTGAACTGGTCGAAAAGCTGTTCATGTGGCAACAACAAAAGCGAAAAGCTTAGCAACAAGAACAAAAAAAAACAACCACAACAACAACAGCATGGATCAACTTTTAATGGGGTGAGCTCAAAGCACACACGAACTTTACATTTCATTTATAAATACATTTCTATTTATTTCTATTATAATCAATTCAATCAGAATCTTGTTAGATGTAATGCCAAGAGTATGACACTACATGGTTTACCTTTGTTTTTTTCTTAGGTTTCGTAACAAGTTGCTAGAATTAACATTTTAACCTTTCACATTTCAGATGGACTTTGGCAATGAATTTCCACACGCTATGTGAAGCAAAGCCCCTGCAAAAAAAAAAATAATAATAATTATAAAGATATACAAAAATCCATATGGAGAATAAAAAACAATTACAAAATAGCAAACAGAAAATGTAAAAAAAAAAGTAAGTCAGTGCAGAACAAAATTATTTATTGATATGATAGATATTTATGTATATGTATATATACATATGTATTTATACGGGCAGCTGAAAGCAGTACTTAAAAAATAGAAAAGAAAAACACAAAACAATTTTTTGCCAAAATGACGATTATATGTATACATATGTACATAAATATATATCGACATGCATATATATATTTATAGAGCAAGCAACAAACATTGATATTGATAGTTTTGTTAACTACAAAAGAGCAAACATCAACTGCACACTTACACACACTCAGCCACACACAACAAAAACACACAACAAACTTGAGACAAAAACTGACTGGTAAGAGACCAAAATTATCTGGGTTTTCAATAAAAACAAAAATATATATGAAATAATAATCTAAAACAAAACAAAAAGCGCAGCAACCATTTTTTATACAACATATAAAAATTGGTCTATGGAATTTATTGAAATCTAAAAAACCTGAGAGAAAATAATTTCACACGCTGCTTAAAAAAAAAAAACACAAAAAAAAACAAGAAAAATACAAACAAAAAAAATAAAAAAACAAAACTGAATCTGTTAATTGGAGAATGACAAAAACCTTTGCATATGAGTTGGCAGTTAGAGGAAAAGTTAATGATGGAGCGCAGCAGGATAATGAATGGTATGTAGCTCTGCAACTTTTTAGCATTTAGTACTAAGCAAAATGGCAAAGGATTATATTATACATAAACCTATATAGCATATGCATATGTATGTGCATATACATGTGTGTATAAATAAAAATTAACACAAAAATTCGAATTTAATTAATTTTAAGGACATAAAAGTTAGCACTAGGTGAAAGCAGCAAGCAAATTAATATGCGATATGCTTTGAGAGAAGTACTGTTAAGTCCAAATTAAAGAACCACAAAAGGTTTTTGCGTAGCCTGCAACAAACAAGCAAAAATATCATTTTTTATTATATGTAAATGGAGAAAAAATAATAATTAAAATATAATAATGAATTTGTTAGAACTACATATTAAAAAGATGAATACCTACAAAATAATTGTGAGCAAATTAAATGCTGTCATTTTTGTTGCCCAAAAATCAAAGCATGTTGGCAAATTATTTTCAATTTCTAAGAAAACACTTTCAGTTAGGCAAAGGCAACTAGAAACAAAAATCGTAAACGATTTTATAGCATTAAAATATATTACAAATATGAAATCAAACAAACTTTACACTTAAACTTAGCTGCTTGCAACAAAAACAAATACAGGTACTTACAAATATACAACAAATATATATATATATATATATATATATATAAGTATGTATACATATATATTTGTATATATATATAACAAAATAATGTTGAAAACAGGTGTATAAAAATATATATGTATATATATTTATATACACTCATGTATATATGAGCAAAGGTAAAGGCTACAACAGAATCATTTGCTACGGTACATATATATATATATATATATATGTACGTATGTATGTATATGTATATACAACAGACAATTGAAAATGTTGGCTACTTATTTTCACAAGCTCCGATTCACCCCGATTAACTAAAGCTTACTAACAAGAATGAAGTTGACCATAGCGCGGCCTATCCCTGTTAAAAGAAAAAAAACTATGCTAACTCATGAAAAACCACAAAATTGACACATTATAAAACAATTACGAAATAAATGCATAAATTATTATTGATGATGATATATACACACACATATATATAAACTAAATTTAGAATTTTTTATATAAAAAGAAAAAAATTTTTAGCAAAACTAGAAAATTGAACACTGAAATTTGTATATTTAATAATTTATGCCTTTTATTTAACACACTACTGAACATACTTTTATTCACACACAAACACACACACACACACAGACACAGACATGCATGCAAGCAAATCTAACTTAATACATTTGTCACATGCTAAAAAACGAAAAAAATCCAAGATTTACTCAACTGGAATCTGTTGAACCAACTCATTAAACATTTTGACTTTATCTTGAAAAGTTAGCAGAAAAGAAGAAGTATCTGTACAAAATGAAGTTAAAGATTGTCAAATCTACAGCTAAATATGCCAAAAATGAACATAAGAGAGAAGTAAAAATTAAAAAAAAAAAATTAATAATTAAAATGTAACAATTATTTAGAGTTTGTATAGTGTAAAAGAAAAAAATACGTTTAGCGCCTAGTCTGTGGGTTTGCAACACAACTCACGACACATATTTGATACTAATGATAAAAACAATTAATTATTAAATAATAAATATATATAAATATATATATATACATATATATATATATATTAAAATATAAAAGAGGATTTAAGCATACAACAAATTGTTATAAAAGTTAAAGTTAGTTTTGTTACCAGTGCAATATATACTTTTTGTGCAAATACTTTACTTAACTTTTGAGTTCAAAATATGTATCAATAGTTTTGGTTTTTCACATTTCCCTCTCACCATCCCCTTCAAAAAAATACACAAGAAAATAAAAACATTGCCAGTTAGCCGGAAAGATATGGACAGTATTAAATAGCTTGCGGTTTGGCCAAGATAGTTATATTGAGTGGCCCCATACATAGAAGTATTTGCTAATGGTGCCTAGCTTAATTACCCTCGAATTCCTTTTTGGTTTGCAACCGTCTTTTCAAAACAAATAAAATAGAATAAAGAAAACAAACTATTACTAAAAGTATTCAGTTTTGATCAAATTGTTTTACCAAATGTTACGCCTAATATCTTGTAAATATAAACAACACTTGAAGGCGGAGGAAAGTCCCCCTAAAATGCAATGAAAAATAGCATGGAAATGCAAGCCGCAACAAAATGCATTATATACAAAAAATACTTACATATAACTATATACATACATACATACTTAAATTTAAATGCATAATTATTATCAATTGGGTTTAGCGACTATTCCGTAGTTAAACAAGTTGAAAAACTGCATTGCCCCAATTCTTACAGCTTCAAAATGCTAATCTAGATTTTTACTAGAGCAACACACATTCAGACACACAGACACACACAGACACACAGGCACACACACGCTCATTCACACTCTTACTATATGTATTTACGATCTTGTATGAATCAATCTAGTCAAATTCAAGTTAATTATTGCATAAAAACTTAAAACAAAATAATAAAAAAAAAACAACCTAATACAGAGTCAAACTATTAAGATAATAAAAAGTAATTATTATTATGTATTATGAATTATTATCATTACAATTATGATGCATTATGATTTTGTATTGAAAATACGAACACGTATTTAAACTAATTATATAAAAACAAATTATTATTATTATTCTATGCTATTATACAAAACGTTTTAGACTATATACACAATATTTAAATAAAAATAATAATAATAAAAAAGAACTTAGTGCAAAAAACTGATTTTGGCAAAATTATGCAAATTATATATCAAAAATGAAAGAGAAAACGAAAACATAAACACAAATATACTAAAACTTAAATTATCATACATATTATTATTTCTAATACGTAACACGGTGAACTAAATCAAGAAGAAGCAGAACAAATAAAAGCGATAAACAAATTGAGAATTACAAAATACCAAAGAAAACTTGTTTTATTTTCATTAATTATTTTTCAAGTGTGATGATGTGGCTTGTGAATTGGCAAAGCTTTGAGCTAACTGAACGGACCTACAGAACTATGGACAGAAAATTTGGCACATTTAACCCATATCACTTTCTATAACCAAATTTGTTATAATTTCATCGCATTTATAAACTTGAAAACAAAAGAAAAACATAATAAGGGCTGTGACTTGAACGTTAAAAAAAAAAATCAAATAAATTGTTTGACTTTTTTGTTTATCCTTAGTTCATAAATCAGCTAGTTTTGCTTAAAATAACGAAATATTACAAAATATTACGTTTTAGTTTTCAAAAGCGGTGATAACAAGCAACCAAAAAGCCAAATCAAAATTAATGCATACAAGATACATAAAAAATAAAAATAAACAAAAAAAAAAAAAAACAAAAAAACAAAATAATCAATAACAAATAAATAA